TCTATAAAGATAATATCCGATGGACCAGTGTAAAACTCAACATGTGGATTAGAATACTTGTAATGTGAGCACCACATGAGTTTCACACTGGTCCATAGGATACCCAGCGAGCACAAAAACATCTCAGATATGTTAAAAGTACGAGATTTCGAGACATTGAACCTCCACTGCGATGTATCGAGATGTCCTTGATATGTCACAAAACTACCTTCTCCCTAGTTCTTTTTAAAGCCTTTTCATGGACACAACAAAACATTTTCAACGCGTCTTGCGCACATTAAATCGCTGTAAAAAACCATTTTCGAGGTACTTTTCTGAAGCCTTTTGTCAAAATGAACTTTTGCATTAGGATTCCATTTCCCTTGAATGAAAAAATGCATTAAAAATAGATTGAACATAAAAATATTTTCTTGATATGAAATTACCTTCTTAAAATCGATTTCTGAGTAGTGCTTACTACACACAGACATATAATTGGAAATAGGTTTCCCAATTTTTGAAATGTTCTCCACAATGCATAATTTTGCAACTGCGGAGAAGCTGTGTATTGATAAATCCGTACTTTTATATATTGATTACACTGAGGCACCGAACAACACGCATCTTGCATCAGATGGTCATTATTACAAACTAAATAAGTCTTCTAACACAATAAACTTCACCAAATTCCTTTCTGTTCGTTAGCAGCGTGATGTAAGCGTGACACGCTGCAAACGCGAAAGCCAATTGCGAACAAGAAGAACAAAATCGAAAACAAATCAGAATTCATCGTATTGTGACGTAAGCATGAGACGTTGTGGTGGGGCAAACTAAGAAAGGGCACAAAAGAACAAAAACAATACTTCCAATATCCTTCTGAGACCTCTTTGGGTAGTGCATATTACGCCTCAAAAAAACATCCTCATGCCTACATTTCTAAAACATCCCAAAACATCCCAGGGATACCTCTCAGTAGGCAAACAAAGAAATGCCACAGGAGAACGAAAAAAATACTTCAATATCCTTCAAAGACCTCTTTGGTCAGTGCATATCACGCCTCAAAAAAACATCCTCATGCCTGCATTTCTAAAACATCCCAAAACATCCCAGGGATGTTTGTGCTCGCTGGGTATTATCTTTCGACGAGGACGAAATATTCGCGGGAATATTGACGCTTTGCCACTAACTTAGATCAGTTTGAATCGCCGCACGTTTTGATATTTGCAAAAGAGACATTTTCCCCTTTCATTTGCTTTTTGTTTCAACTCGTTATCACATGACGGGAGTATGTCCAGAATAATAGGAGCAAATAAATCGCTGTGCCATGGATTTGGCTTAGACTGAGGGATGGCACAGGTAGGTTTTTTGAGATGTGCCATTCAATTGGTATCGGATAGCATAATTTTAATCTCATTATCAAATCGCGAGTTCGAGTGCAAATTTCCGCACAGGAAAGTGTAATTTTTCAATCATTCTGCTCAGGATAGTGATTGGCACAGGTGGCGTTAGATGAACTACAATGTTTTTTCTATTCTTAGGGACATAATTATCACATCATTTCGTTATCAGATGACGGTAGAAATCTGCAGCAGGCTCTCCTACTATAAAGTTTGAATACTAATTATAATTCGCGGGAATCAATGTTACCAGGTGGCGCTCGGTTTTCATCGTTCCATGTCAAAGCCATGTCAAAACTGGGGGAAAACAATCTTAATCCTCACTCAGTCCCATTAGTGCCATTAGCTTGTGTACTGTGTACTGATAAGAGTGATAACACTTTATGTCATTGACAAGTTTGACAACTACAGCTACAGCAAGATGTATGCAATGTAGTCTATGCACTTTATCCATAGACAATAGTTTGTTTTCCCCCAGTTTGAAGTTCATATTATGTAACCTAGATGTCGCCCACTCGCGAATAGACATTACACATGTCAAAAATATCATCGCAGAAAAACAAGGATTCTGTATTGATTGGCCGATAAGTTTCAGTATACAGAAACTATCGCTGAAATACTGATTGATTCTCGGAAACATGAGTGAAATTGTCAGCTGTAAATGATTGTACCAAGATAATCGTAGTTACTTCCAAATCTCCAATGATGTATTATTACCATATCATTTACTAACAGACCATCACTAACTTGGTATTAAAATAATCTTACCAAAATTTGAAATACCAAGTCTGCTAACTTTTAATTCTTAACATTTCTCAAAATTGTGGTGATGACTTGCTAGAACAATTATTGACTAAGCTACTTTTTCCACTTTAACTCTACTAAATCAGCTTGAACTTCTGAAATGTACCGGGTGATATGTTATAAAGTATAACCCTCTGTAACTCTTTAATTTTTGAGAAGTAGAAGCAAATTAAGAAAAAACAAACTTCCAAGTAACTTATTTCCTTTTCGAGAGATTAGATACGTTTTCACTATCTGGGAAGATATACAGGGAGCAACAAAAAGTGTATGAACTCTAAATGGAACACCTAACCTAACCGAACAATTGGAAAGACCTTACGAAAAGCTTTCCAAAAATATCGCACTTAATATATTTGTCCTCTTTATTACTCAATTTATGGTAATTCAGAACTATCAGAGTCAGATCGATTCTTGAATGCTTTTCGAGAAAACGTCATGACAATGATTGAAATTGAAAATCAATATTGTTATCATTGACAAGGCCTACTCTTGAAAATCATTCGAAATCGATTAAGCTCTGTTAGTTTTGGAAGCCCATATTTTGAGACATACAAAATATTAATATACAAGGTGTCCCAAAATTACGTTACAGAAATATTTCAACCACACATTCTAGGAACAACAATAGTATAAAAAAATCTTATATATATGGGTCTAGAATTGGTCATATCCACACAATGTTCATAAAATAAACAACAATGTTTTATTTCGGGAGAAAAACAACTACTTTCCTGGCAAATGCCACACAGAACATTGAATTACATCCTCCCGAAATCTATGCATCGACACGTTTAAACGAATACTGATACAAGTGAATCTTTCCTGAATGCCTATTGATTTCGATTTAGCCCGGCCACGCTAGACACCCACAGACCGGTTTCGAGCTCTTTGACCCTCATCACTGTAGAGCGAGCTGTAGAGCAGTCTCCGGCCAGCAGTCCTAAGACCGTCAACTAAGCGTAGCCTAGCCAAACAAAAATCAAGTCGGCATTATATTCCCCCAGAAGCGTCCTTCAAAGACAATATGAAATAGACGCCATCTGAGTAGAATCGAAGGAAAGAAACACTCCAAAAATGAAATTTCCATACGGGAGTGGCTGGTTGCCCGACTGGCGTAATTTCAACAACGATATAGCCATAATGCTCAAAGTGGAATGAAATGTTGAATGAATCGAAATTAATTGGCATTCAGGAAATATTCACTTTTATCAGTATTCGTTTATACGAGTCGATGCATAGATTTCGGGAGGAAGTAATTCAATGTTCTGCGTGGCATGAGCCTGGAAAGTAGTTGTTTTTCTCTCGAAATCTACCATTGTTGTTCATTTCATGAACATTGTATGGAAATGACTCAAAGCTTTTCGTATTTATTAAACATTTCATTCCACTTTGAGCATTGTGTCTATTTCGTAGTTGAGGAACATTATTCGCAAACAGAAAAGCGCTTTTCCTTATGGAGTGCACACGTGCAGCGGTGAGTAATCGGTCTATTTTTTATATTTTGGAGATAATCATAAATAAATACAAAAAACTCGAAGTCATATCCACACAATGTTCATAAAATGAACAACAATGGTAGATTTCGGAAGCAAAACAACTACTTTCTTGGTTAATGCCACGCAAAAAATTGAAATACATCCTTCCGAAATCTATGCATCGACTCGTATAAACGAATACAAGTGATTCTTTCCTGAATGCCTATTGATTCCGATTTAGCCAGGCCACGCTAGACACCTACAGGCTGGTTTCGAGCTCTTTGACTCTCATCAGTGCAGGGCGTTCTCCAGCCAACAGTCCTAAGACCGCCGACTACGCTTAGCCTAACCAAACAAACATTAAGTCGGCATTATATTCTCTCAGAGGCGTCTTCCATAGACAATATGAAAGCAACGCCATCTGAGTAGAAACAAGAGAAAGGAACACTCCGAAACTGAAATTCCCATACGGGAGTTGCTGATTGCCCGACTGTCGTAATTTCAACAACGAAATTGCCATAATGCTCACAGTGGAATGAAATGTTGAATGAATCGAAATTAATTGGCATTCCGGAAATATTCACTTTTATCAGTATTCGTTTATACGAATCGATGCATAGATTTCAAAAGGATGTAATCCAATGTTCTGCGTGGCATTAGTCTGGAAAGTAGTTGTTTTTCTCTCGAAATCTCGAGTTAAAATTATAAATACTTAAGAAGGCATGCAGTGTGATATGGGAGAACGTCACCTATCACCATCTCCTGGTCTATCATAGGAAACCAAATTTTCTCACAAAGTATAGTTTGATGGAGAATACCCCTTATTCTTACATCTATACTCTCGATGTTCTATTCAAATTATGGGGGGTGCAAAATTTCGGGAGGTTCCTAACAATTTCAAATCGGGCATAAGAAGTTAGATAGGTACATGTACGAAATTCACATAGGGTTCAGGAAATATTGACATAAAACTATCTTCTTGGGCTCCTTATTTTGTTCCTTGAATCTGTGGTTGAAATATTTCTATGTAATTTCGAGATACCCTGTATAGAGTACGGTATGTTTGGGAAGCTCTTCGAAAGATCCTTCTAATAGTTAGGAAATATATAGGGTGTTCCATTTGGAATTCATACACTTCTTGCTACTTCCTGAATATTTTTTCAGATGCTAAAAATGTATCTATTGATTCGGAAAGATAAGAAAATTCCTTTCGAGGCAATTCTTCGTTTTCATTTTCTACTGTCAAAAATAAAAGAGTTATAGGGGATGGTACTTTATAACGTGTCACCCGGTATATCGTCCTTTCTGTTATATATAAACTGACTCTTTCCCTCCTTCCTCGTAGATGTCACTACTGTACTACTGGTCGACAATCAAGGCAGATCTTCTTTCGGAAGGTTCCTGAACGTTAAGCCTGATCTAGGTCTCATTACCTCGACTGCGCGTACCTTCATTCAGGCTGGCGTGACCACTGAGTACGCCACTCAAGTACTCGGTACCACTCTAGACAATGGACGCTTGTATGCTCACTTACTCACGAAAAGCTCCAGAGTCTTATACGATGACTCTCCTTCAAAATCTCACGAGCATTATAGTAAAAAGTGGAGTGTGAACGAGAATAATCTAGTTGGCGATCAGTTCCTTAAGAACATCGACTTCGCGCCTAGAGATGTCATTGTACCAACTAGATTACAGATGCCAGACGTTATTGGAAGTAATACTCAGTACGCAAGCATCAGCAGTCCCCAAAATGTCATTGAGGAAGAAATATTGAACGAGTCACCTTCCAACAACTACAGACTGTCATACCAACAAAACCAAAAGCTTCGATCGAGCGACACTAATCAGAACAACATCAAGGTATTCAGAATAGGCTCACAAGTACCAGATTACACCGAGGAAAACGTGATAAATCACAAGGAGCTGAACGAGAAACCCCTCCAAAACGAATTCTTGCCATCCAAAGTACGTCCTTGGGATAATTTACCAACGTTCACAGTCAGAAATGAGTTTTCTCCATCAGGATTGTCATTCTTGGGAGATTTTCCAGAACTGGAGGAACGTACAGAACGTACTAGACTCACCAGTCCAGCAGACAGGAAGGCTAAATTGTTATTCAAAGCAGGTTTGGCCAGACCGAGCCACAAAGACCTAACTTCGATAACCTACAGCGGTTTCGCGGATTTCACCACAACCGTAGGTGACACAGTCATAATTTTCACTCCCAATACCAAGAAGGAGGCAGAAACCTCACAGGAAACAACCAGAGTTGCAGAAACTCCGTCTATTCAAGCGACCACCACCCTACAAGAACCTCCTTTGGCTACTCAGATCAAAACGTTCTTGTCCCAAGAACCGCCAATGGAAACTAAAACCTTCAAAGGTGACAAACTCGAAATGAAAACCCTCCTACCGACGATGGTCATAGACAAAACAGATAGGATGAGAGAGGCTAAGAGCCAAGCTACCGAAGAACGCATAGATATGGATGCGAAATCAGCTGTACTGGCTCGTGAACAAGGTCAAGAAACTGACACCGCGGAGTCTTCAATCGCATTCACTGCAGAAGTTATTCAACCATCAGAAACCCAACCCTCTATGTTATCCACACCTTCCGATGAGGACATCGCGAAGATATTCGCTTCTCTTCAGGCCCTGGCAAAACAATCCACAGAACCACTCAGTTCCTTCACTAGTGTCCTCGAACCTTTAGTGGTACAAACCAAAGATATGAGCCTGACTGGTGCCACAACCATATTCTTCGATGATGAAGTGCCAAGCAAAACTAGCTCGCTAGAAACTACCTCTTCGTCTAAATCACTCACAGCCGAAGAAGAAACAAGTGAAGGGACAACGACAACAGAAGAAGATGGCATTGAGTCTGATAGTGAGAGTCAACTTGGTAGCACCCTTTGTTCCGGTGGAAGTGAAGTTGTTCCTACCACAGTATACAAAACACTCACATATCTCACAACCTTCTTCATCCCTGTGGAAGACTCAACAACAACTTCAGTTAAATCCAATGAAGTTGTATCGACAGAAGTTGGTTTGACAACCAGACCTTGTCAGAACATGGCTACCACTCCAGAAACGACAACTTCAGTAGTTACAGTAGTTACTGAAGAAATATCTACAATACAAACCACAGAGCCTAACTCCGAGGCTCCGACAGAGCCAGCTACAGAACATGTAACGGAAAATCAAACAGAAGAACATGAAGCTACGACTCATGAAGTTCCTGACATAACAACTCAGGATTTCACGACTGAAGTAACAGATCCAATCACAGAACAAGTAGAAACAACAACCAGTGAAGACGATGAAGTAGAAGTGATATTCAAGACCCTCTATACAACTTACACTTACCTAACAACATATTTTCAAGAAACCACTTCTTCAATCGCCAGCAGGATAGTGGTCACAACGAACGTTATAACCTCAACACTAGATCCTGGACATGAAGCAACAGACTCCATAGAAGGACTGTTTGTTGCAGATGATCAAGTTGCAGGCTTCAAAACCAAAACTGTTTCTTTCGAAGATGTGGTTGATATCACTCCTCGTGATAATGGGATCGTTCCAACTGTTTCACATACTTTTGAAGGTGACGCTGAAGACGGTGATTCGCAAGAACACGTTTTGTCGAAACCTACACCTATACTTGATGATGCTAGCTTAGCGCAGACCATCAATGCAGTTAAAACTTATTACACGACATACACTTACTTCACCACGATCTTTGTTGATGGAGAAACTGAGATATCGAGCCGTACTGAGGTTTACACGAACTTCGTTACTCCTTCTGTACACCAGCATATTATCGCAACTGAGACTGTTAATACAGATGGAGACAATGACCAAGAAGAAGTTGATGAAAATGACAAGATCACTAACCGAGTTTCTGAATTCAGTGGAAAACTACAAAGCAGTTATAATACCATCAACCGTCAAACATATTCAACTAGAACTTACCAGCTAGATAACGATGTATCAGGTCCTGATGCAGGATATTCCACTATAGAACGAGAAAGCGTAAGCAAGTTGAATAATGATATAACAGACGATGATGAATTCAACTTCAAAGATTATGAAACCATTGCCACCATGGTCACTGATGTGCGTAGCAGTACCTCTGAAGGAGACCGTAGAATTATAGACAACGTTGATAAACGCAACGTTTTACTAGATGATCAAATCGTTTCAGAATCGAATAATGACTCTGAAATCTTACCTTCCCCAACATTGCTCCTGCAAACAAGCTATACAACTTTCACGTATTTCACTACGATGTATCAGGGAACAACCTCTAGCAATGTCGTTAGTAGGCTAGAAACAATCACTAATGTTGTCACCCAAACATTAACCCCGACACAAACTCTGAGCATCGAAGATTTGAATCTACCGATAACCTATTTCACAACATTCACCTACTGGACAACCCTCTACAAGGATGGTACCACAAAAATAACAAGTCGTGAAGAAACACTATCAAATATCGAAACACCTACAGTTGCAAGTAGTTCAACATCTGCTGATATGACTTTTTCATCTATATCCTCAACTCCAGTTGCCAATGAAATCGTCCCGACAGCATCAACCGAAAGCATAGTACCATCATCAGTTGGAGACGATGATTTAACTACTTACTTCACTACGTACACATATTACACGACCTCGTACATTGGCGACAGTAGTGTTCTGAATAGTAGGCTCGAGACTGTTACCAACGTTTTGAATGATTCGCAAGCCATCAACAGCAGTCATACTGGAAGAGCTATTGGCTCTGCCCATGGCAACAAATTAGAGAATGATATCGAGAAATCCCAAACTAAAGCACCAGGGGCGTTAGATATTATCAGACCAACAGGTTTATTATCCACAATAGAAAGTACAGTGGAAAATGACGGTATAACCACAGTACTATCTACAGATGTATACGGTACCTATGTTGATGGACTATACGCTCAAGTTCTCGAAAGTACATCAAGCATTTTGACGAAAAATATATCAGCTTCCTCCGTAACGGTTGCCTTGCAACCAACTGGAGTAGTCAGTATCAATAAAGGCAAGATAGTTGATGCCGAAGGTGTCAGTACCTTATTCTATACAACCCAAGCCGTAGGAACATACATAGATAATTTATACGCACAAGTTATCGAAAGTACGAGTTCCCTAACAGTAGATGAAGTGAAAAAAGCGGGATTGCCTACAGACTTGCCCATCGTACACCGAACTGGTTTAGTGAGGCTGATAGAAGGATCTATCGTACAAAATGATTCGACAACGTTTTATGAATCCAAAGTGTTGGGCACCATGATAGATGGTAGATACGCTCAAATAATCGAGAGCACGTCGAGCTTTCTAGTGGGACAAGCCTCAATTGCACCCAGCGCTGTAAACAGTGAAATAATTCCTTCAGCTACACAAGCACCAGCAGGAACCATAACAACAACAGACACAATTTCCCCATCACCAGTGGTGATCGAAGGATCCATCAGCGAAACGACTAAACCAGACGATGAATCCAGCACTGAAGAGAACGAAGAAGACGACGACAAGAGCAACGGGAGCTCCAAGTCCAGGCTGTCTTTCCAATCGCGCAAGCGAACATTCACTCCAGCGATAAGGCCGTTTGCGTCAAGGCAAAGACCGACCTTCGCTCCCAAAAGAAAAGCATTCGGACAGAGCACTGCAGCCACTATAACAAGAAGCGACTTCACTCCAACCGTAACAGCAGTCCTAGCCTCTAAATCAAACAGGTTCGGCGGTAGAAGATCTTCAGCAACAAGTATACAACCAACAGCTTCTGGAAGCAGGCGATTCTCGCGTCCCAAATCCAGTAGTATATCAGGATACAGCTCGTCATTTGGTGGTGGTAGAAGAAGCAGCTCCTCTAGAATCCAGCCTACCATAGCTGGGTCTAGCTCGAGACGAGCAGGACTCAGATCGAGCTCTCTGTTTGGATCGAGACCGAGAATTCGCCCGACATTAGCTACAGGCTTAGCTAGATCACCTAGCTCCAACGTTGTGACTCAAATTCCCCCAGATGAAGATAACGATCTGACTACTATAGTGACTGACGCACCGACCGATGCGTCAGACGAAGACGCTGAAACCACTCTGGCCCTGCAAACGACCACCGAAGGTTCTAGACGTAACCAGAACCCTCTGTTGAAGTTCAGGAGGCCTTTGTCTCGTACTCCAGGAACGAGAAACACTCCTGCTAAGCCGTCCACCAGAACTACTCCTAGAAGAGTGACAACTACCACGAGTACCACTACTTCGAAACCCAAAACCACATACAGCAGGCCGAACAGTTTGCTGAGTAGGGCAAGACCTAATGCATTGTTCCCTAGAAGGAACTTATTCACAACTACTACTCCTGCTCCGGAAGAAGAACTGGAGGACGGTGAAGACTTAGAAGAGGAGGAGGAACCAGAAGAAGATACCGATTATGACAGCTCGCTGGTTGTTGAAACAGTCGTAGATCCTGCTGAAAGTCGTCACATTCCTAGAGTGAATGTTCCTCGGCCATTTTTCAGGAAAAGGTCTAAGAGAGATACATATTCGAGGTTCAGACGACCTACAAGTACGACTACTACGGCTACCAGTGCATCAGAAGAGGAAATAGAACTGCCACAGAAGGTATCTAGCAGGAATAGATATGTTCCCAAAAATAGAAATGTCAAAACAACTACTCCAGCAAATGCCCCGAGAGCAAGGATCACTCCTAGTAAAACCTCATCCCGAACTCAGTTTACCCTGAGAGAGAAGGATAAAAAAAACAATTTCAAGAGGCCCACTACCACTTCACGTTCTAGCAGACCCACAACGAATGCTAGACTCAGCTCCTCTAGATCTAGAAATCAACAAACCGATAACAACTTCAGAAAATCCACAACTAATAGTAGACAGAGTTCGAGAACAAATACCAGAGGAAGAACTAACCAACGGCAACGGTATCAAAAAGATGATGTTTCAGAGCACGACAACTATGTTTCACCTCCTTCTGATGGAACTATAACAGTGACACACCAAATTCCAACTGAAATCACCATTCCAGTTGTCAATGGTAAAATCACCGAATACAAAAACGTGGTGACCGCCAAGCTCAGCACAGAAATATTAGGTCCTAGGCAATACTCAACAACCATCAATCCTTTCGGAAAAGAACAGAAAGTATTGTTAAGTGAAAATACTGGAATAGCCAATAACGGAGCAACTTTAATCACTCAGTTGGTACTGAACGAGACGCCAACAACCAGTGTTATATTCACTCCAACGTATATCAACAGACGTAAAACCTCGTTCTCTCACGTCGTTCCTAGTACCATTTATGGAGTAGAACAAGTCGTCAACACTATCCAACCAGCCCTCGCTGCTCAAGCTCCGCTAGCAAACATTTTGTTGTCCCAGCTTCTCCTTGGTGGTCTGCAGCCTCAACCGAACCCTTTATTGGGCTTGCAACAGCAGCAACAACCAGCTACACCTACCACCGAGTTCAAAACCAGAACAACTACGTATGTGACGACAGTCACAAGCGAGACCTCAACGGTCATCCCCTTGACATTTAGAGGAAAGGAAATCTTCACGACCATAATCGATAGCAGTGTGACAGTTCTTACAGCAACCGAGTTCTTAACAGATACTGTGGTGGTAACGCCTACGTTTGGGTATCCTGCCCCACAGCTGAATACTGCATTATTACTTCAGTTGCAACAGTTCCAGCAACAACAACAGTCTCTGGCAAGTCCACAGTTGCTGCCACAAGCCAATCCGTTCAGTTCAGATGAGCTGCCTGAACCACAGCCGCTGTATAGAGAGGAAGAAAAGTTTAATTTCGCATTAGGCGAGAGTGGAGAACTTCAGGATAGTGATGAAGTTGTCAAACCGAAACCCAAGAGTTCGAGGAGAGGGAAGAAGAGTAAAGCTGCTCAAGTTGTCGAACCACCAAAAGAAACTAGTGTTATAACGTTGTATGTGTCTGGGAGAACGCCTGGGGAATTTACGACAGTTCTGTCGACTATAACAGTTGGAGAAGAAGGTGGTAAGAGTAAGCGGGATATTCATGATGTTCCAGTGAAGCCATCTAGAATACAAGGAAATCCTGATTCTATCACAACTCGAGGAGTCGAGAGCTTAGTCATGCCAACGGCAGATATAGCTTTAGAGACATCTGAGACTACCAAGGAAACTGAAAGCTTGGAAAGTATAATTGGTAATGTACCAAAACATTTGAACACGAAAACTCCTGAACTTTTCGGGACAAAGCCAACTAAGTATGAAGAAGCTAGCAAGAAGAATCAAACCAAGTTTGTCCTGGCGAAAGCAAAGTCTACCGACGAACATTTTTTTGGGTAAATGACCTTAGCAAAGTAGCCCCCCTTATGCCAAAGGTCGAAACGTCGCTTAACAAATGGGGCAAACATATTACAAAAATTAACGTTTCGAACAAAATTGGGGATAAAAAGTATAGATATAAAAGGGACTTACCTGAAATTAACAAAAAAAGGAGAAGAGTTATCAAAAAACTAGTAAGAGTACAACCTTTAACCAATGCAACTTTTAATGAAGAGTCGATGAAATCTGAGGAAAAATTCCTGAATGATATTACGACTAGACGATATAGGAAACGTTTGAGGATAAAAAAAAAGAAGAAACGTTTACTCATTCCTTCTAGCACCACGAACTTCGAAGAAACCGAATCTATTCAACCCACTGTGAAGCAGAGGAGAAAAATCATCATCACCAAAAAGCGTATTTTACCAAGTACTAATAAAACAGTTACTCCTGTACTACCACAAGATATTGCTTCTACAAATCGAAATCCAGTTTTCCTTGCTTCAGCAGAAGAGTACACGAGGAATATATTAGCTGGACAAAACAACTACGAATCATCGAGCTACAACGAAAACTCTTTTGATAGCTTCGAAACTGACACTGATGATGAGCAAAATGACTCAGAAGAAGACTATGGAGAAGATGAAGATGATAACTATGACAGCGATGAATATTATGATAATGAGGACAATTTCACTGAAGCCATACCTATAGTTACGATCAGAAATGATCTGTCACTAGAGAGAGACTCTGAAGAGTCTAGTATCTCAGAGACGAAGTACATCGAGAATGAAGAAGAACCGGACACTGCATCTGAGATGAATATACAGGAGGAAGTGAAAGATACGAACTTTATTCATCCATCAGGATACAGTGATGATGAGAATATTGACCAATCGACCTTCCATCAAGATTTGCCAGAATACGAGCCCTTTTTCCCTGAGCTTTCTGAATCTCTTGACGCACCCGTACTTCTTCTGAAAACTACTGTTCTATCTTCCACCGAACTTCTGACAAACACCGTGACACAAAGCAGACTGAGAACTTACACCTTCGTGGTAACTAGAGTTAGTGGGAGTGAGGAGATTGTGACTTCGACTACTGAAGTGAGACCGCAAGTACAGACCACCGTTTTGACGGAAACTTTAACGAAGTTCACTACCCTAACTCTCTTGGACTTCGACGCTACTGAGACTTTGACAGATTTTATCCCAACTTTGGACAACCCTCAGCCTGATGATCTCGATCGAGGTGAGTCTGCTTTTGTATAAAATAATTTTCATGTACAAATTATTTCCAAATCCTCAATTCATTGTGATCAATAATTCACTGCCGGTTATATGAGGAACATAAATGAGAAATGAAGCTATAGTAGATCTTGCTGGAGTACTTAATTTCGAAGTTCTTGGGTCTCGCAGTTTCACATGTTTGTTACTGATTGACAAATTCAGCTGTTTTGTTTCCAGAACAATTGAAACACTTTGCCATCTCCACAAATTCACTTCTAGAACCACTTAGCTTGATTTCTACTGGATTATATCAGAATTACAAGCATTCAAATTGAAACGCTTTTTTTCTGAGATGTTGGCACGAAATATTGATCACTTTGTACCTGAATGAATTTTTTTTTGTAAATTTCCCCAGCAATTTCATATTCAACATTTTAGAGTAAGGTGTCCCGTGAAAACATTTCAACTATGGTTGGTAATTTATTCAAAGTAAAAATAGTGAAAATAAAATTCAATGAAGACTAATATTTTCGTCAAAGCTACTGAATTATTCGTACAATAATTTAACCTAACATTGATTTGCTTAACTTGCACAAAAGGTATTTTCAATTCAACTCATAATCTCCAGAAGTGCAAGAAATGATCTTTTGTTGATAAGGAAAGAAGGTAGATATACAGGGTGGAACATTAGTGCGTCGGAGCTCGATTGCTCGAGTTCTATGATAGCTAGAAACTCGATTAATAAACGAATGTGAATGATACAGCAAGGTCCATAACTAAAAACTATTGCCGCATATACAGGGGGCACGGTGAAAAATCTAGAGAGTCAGGACCACTTTTTTTTAATGGAATGCTCTGTATGTCAGCACATTTTTTGAAGCATTCCTGTCACCTCCAACAACGCCTATAATATTGTTGACTATATCTCGATCATTTCAAAGTTATTATTTTTTTTTGTCGAAATAATATCATCTGCAGATGCATACCGAAAAAATTACTGTAGTCACAATCATGAAATTCAAGAGAAAATGATCATAATATCATTTGAAGGAACGATGCGTGATATTTCTGTAGAATTTGCATGCCCTCAAATTATACAAGGTGGCTAAAAATGATTTTTCAATTCAGAACTTTTGGAAGTGATTTTTCTCGAGTTTTTCAATATATATTTTTAGGCCATTTGGTGTAAAATCGAAACACGAACATCTTTGATCTCAACATCCATATTAATATTCGTAACCATTTTTGAATTATTGAATTTCGAAAGTTATAGGTCGGCCATTTTCATCGATACAAATTCTCATCAGTTATTAAAACATCAAAAGTTCAATTATTAATTTATTAAACTTTTTTTCCGTCGACCTTGTATCAACGAGTAAGTTCAATGTTTATGGAATCGTTCATTAATGACCCCTATCAATGATCAATTTGTCTATTAATGCACGATTGTTTTATAGGCAACCAAACATACACCGCGTGCATTCATTGTTTATGCTATAACTTACGGAATCTGCATTTAAATCGAAAATATGGATTTCATCGAAGATTTTCCGTTAACGGGTTCGCCTTTTCAAGTTTCTGTAACGATTTTAATCCCTATTTTATAACACAAGGAATTTATTTTTTATGTTGATCATTTCGACAAATGTCAAATGTCACTACTAATGTCAGTAACAAGGCTACTGGGTGATTCTTAGTAGTTTCCGGATGAATCATGAATTCGCGAACCAAGCTTTCTTCATTGCAGGAGTAATATAGTCAATCATTAATCGCCCTCATTAATACACTAGTTGGTTAAATCACCATTATTCATTGAGAGAATTGATACCAGAATCAGAGTAAAAAGAGAAATAGTTCATGTACTAGTTATTCACAAAGTGAAAAAGAAAAAAATTCCCATTTTGCATGATTGTGAATTATTATCCTGGTTTTGTTTTTGATGTGCTATGAATATATGGGATATTTTAGTAATGGTTTTCCTTCTTTTCTTTCTTTTTTGAATCTGTTAATCACTAGCATATGAACTATATTTGATGTTTGCTTTAATTCTTGTTTTAATTCTATCAATGAAAAAACAAGTTTACTAAATTATTAATTGTACTTTTGATGTTTTAATAAAACTGATGAGAATGTGTATGGATGAAAATGGACAACCTATAATTTTCGAAGTTCGATAATTCAAAAATGGTTAGGAATATCAATATGGATGTTGAGATAGAAGATGTTTGTGTATCGATTCTTCACCAAATAGCCTAAAAATATATGGGGTGTTCCATTTGAAAAACTCGAGAAAAGTCACTTTCAAAAGTTCCGAATGGAAAAATTATTTTTAGCCACCCTGTATCATTTGAGAGCATAAAAATTCTACAGAAATATCACACATGTTTCCATCAGAGATAATTCTCTTTTAAATTTTATAATTGTGACTACAGTGCTTTTTTCGGTATGCATTAGCAGATGACATTATTGCAACAAAAAAATTAATAACTTCGAAATTATCGAAATATATTTAACAATATTATAGGAGTGGATAGAGGTCACAAGGATGGTTAAAAAAATGTGCTAATATATATAGGGCATTCCATTTCAAAAAAGTGATCCTGATATCCCTGATCCTCCAGATTTTATCCGGTGCCCCCTGTATATGCGGCAATAATTTCTAGTAATTTATGGACTTTGTTGTCTCATATACATTCGTTTTAGAATCAAGTTTCTAGCTATCACCACCATGTATATCTACCTCCTTTTCCTATCCTCCCAAGATACGATCGATGTTCTTAGAACATTATAGGGATTTCTTTTCGTGCTATCCAAGAGATGAAAAAAACGCAAATATTAGACGTATTCTCAGTTCTTGATTTCTGAGAATGACAACTATGGAGCATTTCACGATGAAAATGAGTTCAACATTTGCATACTATCATGTGAAATATTGAAATTGCTGGAAAATTTAGTAACTTGAACTGCAGAATATGCTATACAGAAATGAATAATATACATAATCTAGCAAAAAGAATATACCACGTCCTTGATTAACCCACAGACAGTATGACTAATATAATTCATTAGGTCACTTCGTTTCAATGCTATTTGTTTTTTCAAACAAAACAATCTCAGTGCAAGAATTGGGACGAAAGAACACTGAATCCTTCATTTTTGCTGACATTTGGCATAATTATATGATCATCTACTACTGATGACTTGAAGGTGTTAAATTTGAATAGAACAATATGACTTTGTGTTATAGGCGCGAAAAAACAATAGGGATCCTGAACAGTATGGTATCAGACATAACTTTTTATCACCCCATTTTTCTAACGAGCTTCCTTTCAGCATTTCAGAAAGTAGCACTTTTCTAGCCTAGTCCGTGGAACAGTGGCGTAACTATACCGTTCGAGGCCCGTGGCAAATTCATCTGATGGTCCCCCTTTAGTATAAAGGATCTGAACCAACAATTATTGTATTTTTTATTCAATAAACTCATTCAAATACTTTTATCTGTGAAAGTTTTTTATTATCAAGATCAAGATGAGGTTTCTATTTTGGGTCTAAAATAGGATCGAAACTGAGAATTTCTTTGGAAAACGAGATTAATATATCTATTTCATGTTGATGAACAAATGCTAGAGTATTTTCCAATGAATCAGTAGGTAGGTATCATTCAAAGTTTTGTTGTCATATGTTTGTCCACTCATATTTCCGAAATTATTACTTGAATTTTGACCATTCTTTCTGAAATTTTTTTTTACTGATGCAATGCAATTTCAATTCATTTTTTCGATTGTGTATATGCCACTGACTAGGTGACTTGAAAAAATTGAACTATTTTCATCACAAAATGTGGTATAATAAATGTTGGAAGTTGGGATTTTCCTCAGACTGGTAGGGGGAATAACGTATTTCTTGGACTAGGCCAAGAAAAACTACAATGTTGTCATTATCACTCACATACATACAGTAAATAAATGAATATGAATAGAATATTAGGTGTATCCAAATGGAATTTGGAATTAATGGTATGTTAAGAAGAGAGACGTATATTATTCACTATTTGGTCACTTCCAGAATCACCAGAAATGGCTTCGGTTTTAAATCTTTATATGTAACTGTACATTCCATCAGTTTTGGATTTCTGGGACAATTCTTGATCAGAATGTAAAATTTTTGAAAGTTTTCACGATTACTTAATTTTCTCAAAGTCACTTATTTTAATACTGCATCTACACCTTTTCCAGATGTATTTCAGAAAGCGCCAATTTAATTTCAGAATCGTCACTTGTATTTCAGAAAGCATCAATTGTATTTCAGAATAATCAATTCATTTTCAGAAAGCATCAATTGTATTTCAGTACAGTCAATTGAATTTCAGAAAGTGTCAATTGTATTTCAGAAAGCATCATTTGAATTTCAGAAAGCGTCAATTGAATTTCAGAAAGCATCAATTGTATTCCAGAATAGGCAATTGAATTTCAGAAATCGTTCTCTATAGACTGAAAGCCAGCGACCACCAGACATCATTTCAACAAGGTTGATATTTTCTGTGTGTGTTATATCTTATTCGGTGGAATCGTTTTAGGGGTTAAAAATCTTCAGTACTGGATGGGCTTTCAAGAGATACCAAGTGTTGAAAGTACGAAAAAAACTGGCAAAAACATAATTTCAACAAAAGCTGATCTTTTTATGTTGAGTCGGATCCTATCATGAAAGAGAATATACAATTGCCAGGCACTTTCCACTGGGTGTTCTCCTGCCAGACAACTTTATAAATCGTGAAAATATCATGACATTCACGTCATAGCAACAGAGCTTGATTTTGTAAATATTATTAAGAAGCCTATTTTACAGTATCAGACAGCCATCAGTCACTTCCTATTGGACGAACATGTAAAAATCAGAACTTTTTCATAGCAATAGAAATATGTATATCTATGATGGTCCCCTATACCTGAAATTCTGTAATCTGTTCATCAAATAGTACATAGGTACCTAAAGGTACATAAGGAAGAAATTCGGGGTGATTAA